AAACAGCTCATCAGAGATCACAAGCAAATAAAAGATAAAATGGACACTGGAACCAGATCCTTCGGTCCGCCATTCAGTATTCTTTTGCCAATAATCTTAAGTCTCCTACTAATAACAATAAAATGTTACTTGGGTCATCATCAGTTTTGATACTATTTCTCCACATGGAAGTTCAGGCTGTAACATCACAAGAATTCAAAGCAACAAGGGGGCAGGGGACTTCTCCTAGCCAAGAAGTTTCTTAAATTTCAAAATTAGAGAAAAGACACAGAAGAATGTACAGATAGGTTCATTTGACGGAGTATACATACTAAGAAAAAAATGGCATATAAAAGTAAACATTTATATTTTAAAAAGCCTCTTTTCAACAATTTACACTCTCAAAACATCTGGGCTATAGGGAAAGAATGCCCAGCTAATAATCATTTACTGAGTAGTTTTGCACTCAAGCGCTGGCCTGCAAGGTTTTCAAGGGTTTGCAGGACCCTTGCCCAAAAACACTTTAAAATCTCTGTAGATACAAGATCAGCATATTATAACATTCAAACTCATGATGGTTAGGAATTCAGAATAAGGAGGAAACTTCAAGTAAGCTGAAGTAATAGTGAAGGTTTAATGGAAGAATGAGAGAATTTTGAGGCACGAACTGGGCTGCGAAAGGCAGGTGAGATTCATAAAGGAGAAACAGTTCAGATTTGGTGAAGATGTTCAGGGTGGGCGGCAGGAAGGAGAGGCAAGGGAGTGGCAGGAGGAAACCGAGATGCAGAGAAATACACCTAGTCTATGGATGAGCTAGCAAATGGACAAGTGGATGAGCTGCAGTTGGAATCCAGATCTCTAACTCTAAACATCAAACTCTTTTATGCCACTCTGCTCCTCCTAACTGGTCTTCTTGCCTCCATTCTGGCACCCCTCTCCAGGCAAGTCTCCATTGTATTGTTTCCTTCTGAAACACAATTCTGATCAGGTCAGTCTCCTTCTTAAATCTCTTCAATGGCTTACTATGGCTTTCAGAAAGAAGTTGAAACTCTAACACATGGCATACAAATATCCATCATGATCTGGACTCTGTCTCTTCTCTAGCAGGTCCACCACAAGTACTCTTTGTTTCGGCCATTAACATCTACCCACAGTTCCTTTATTGGGCATGCTACCATATCTCTCTACCTTTGTGCATGTTGTTCTTTCAACCTAAAATGCCTTTCCTTCCCCTTCTTCAATTACTGCCTTATTCTTCAAGCCTTAGTGCAAATCTTACTCTACTATAGTAAGGCTTTCCTTACCACACTCAACATCCAATTAGATTTAGATGCCTCTCTATGATTTTTTATATCACCCTCCTATGTATATTCCTATCTTTCCTTATCACACAGCTCTTTAATCATTAATTAACTTCCCTGTCTCCCTTACTAGAGACTATGAGCATCTTTAAATCACCAACCCTCAGAATCATGCCTAGTATGTAGCAGACACTCAGAAAATTTGTTACATAAATGAACTCATTGTACTCAGACTTTATCAATTAAAATCAAAAAATGATTTATCCAATTAGAAACAACCAAATACTCAGGAAGTTATATAATTACCAGAAAATTAACTTCTGTGACTTCGAGTTACTAATTTGACTCCACTATCTAAAGAATCAAAGGCTTCAGGAATTATACAGAAACACAAAGTCAAAATGCAAAAACATCAAAGAATGTAAAGCCACTCTGTGTGTGTGAGGAGTGTTAGTCCTACCTTAACATGAGCCTCTCTTAATGGTTAAGTCACTGCCAGAAATATGTGGGATTCGAGATGTAGCTCCTTCATAATACTTCTAGAGCTCTCTCTACTACTCGATTTGACAAAATACATTCCATGCCTGATATCAAATTACTAATTAATCTAAGATTCATGCTGTTTGATGACATGCTACAATCTGGGCCTAACCAAACAGTTACATAAAATATAAAGTTCTACTACTATTGTGTCACTCAAGATGTGAGAAGTGCAAGACAAGGTTGCCTGCATTAGAAAGAATCAAAAGGGTCATTATGAGGACACACAGATGAAGAAAACTGACGTACATTTTGTTAAATTTTGATTTAATTAATCTTAAGGACAAATTGTTAAAGTCTTGAAATGTCTCTCTGAAAAAATTCTCACTAATACCCATCAAAAGCTTGAAGATATAAATGAAAGAAGTTCCTCTCTAGAAAACATGCCTTCCTTCTCCAGTTTCCCAAAACAATGAGGAACTAAATGAAAACAACTGAATCACAAGCCTTATACTTTATGAATCCACTATACTACAGCTATTGAATAGAAAGCTATTGAGTTAATTTTTCTATGTAGTGGAAACTTTCATCTTAGCTAATATGATACTCACATTGTGTAATTAACTCCTTTTTAACCCCAGATGAATTATCTTCACTATCAATCACCCATGTGGTCAGTGCTATTCCCCTTCTCCCTTCATCCCTGACCTCCTTCTCTCCCCAGTAACTTCAAGTGGAATCAACTGGTGTCTCCTTTACTCTCTCTTTAATAACCCAATAGTTCTTATTCTTCTATAGGTGACAGATGCCTTTGAGGAACTGACGAAAACTACGAGGCTTTCAAAATTTTTCATAGAATGTCAGGAGTTTCAGACCCCTTATCCCTCACCATCACCTACACAAATAATTTCTATTACCATATGGCTCTATTTTATAATCCCACATCACAACTCCTTTACACACAAATGTACACAATGAAGGACTATTACACTGATTAATAACATAATACTCAAAATAATAAAATTTAGTCTAGGTAAAGCTTTATCTTTTGAGCAATATTTTAAGAATCCCAGATGAACTCCTTTCTAAAAGGCCTTAGAAGAACATGTGAAGCACTCCAATAAAAAACTCAAAATAAGGAGTAAGGCATTTATAAAAAAAGTTTACCAAGTCTTGTTGCTTGGTCAACTTGCTTGCCTTAAAATGTGCTGAAATGTCTTCCTAAATTTGTTTTTATTAACTCTGACACATCTTGTAAAATCATGTAAGGCTCAAAAGTTATGTTTGAGCAAAACAGAAAGTTCCCATGATATTAACAAACTCTTGGATTCAAAAACTTGTTCTACTATATCAAGCTATGTTCAACACCAGTGTTAGCTAGGAACAGAAAGTGATACCATCTCATTACTATCTAGTTACCTTGTCAAAGCAAGTGAAACATAAAAGATGAAACAGGACAAATGACCAAAGGGAAAGGAATAATATAATGAAGGTGTTATTACTAACAGACAGAGCTAAGTGTTCTTTCTTGACAGCATACTTCCTAAAAGTGGAAGGTTCTTGCTGGATGTACCAAACTATTTGTGGAAACTATCAGTTCACTTTTATTTTTGCTCAAACTTTGAATCACTGTTTAAACCAGTTTTCTTCTAGGTAAAAAAAAAAAAAGGAAATATGATCACTCTTTCACTGCAAATTGATAAATTTCAAAATCACAACATCAGAATTTCTAAATACATTAAACTTTGGTGATACACTCACACAACTTTTCTAGGCTTCATGATAATGGAGGCACCCATTAAAGCCATTAACCCTCCGCCAGCATAGACAATTCACAAAGAGCTGTGACTGCGTTTCTTCACTTGTAAATATTGTGTTAACAGGACACATCAAGTAAGCAAGTTCTCGTTTTGCCTCAAGGTAGGGTGGAATTGATGAGACTTTAAACTGGTCATTTTATTCCATTCCACCAGGCCCCTTCCTACATAATGGAAGGCTGCATATTTCCTGAAACGATAATGCTTTGACCACCGTTTTCCAGTATGAACAGTCCATAACTGAAAGGCAAACAGGAGGCAAGAGAGAAGTACAACAGGTACCAAATGGCCAGATGCCATAAGAAACGGCTTTAGTTATATGTCACTGTCTCCTTCCATATTAGAGTCAAGTTGCTGGTTAAAAATGAAAACTAGATGTGCAACATGTGGCTTGTGCTTCAGATCTAAACTAAGAACCTTCAGACAGAAGGAATATTTGCTGAATTTGTGCAGGAAAACCGTTTCCCCTTGTGCCACCCGAATTAGAAAGTTTACCAAAAAGAGGAACCCCTTTAACTGATGAGTTGAAGAAACTCGAGTATTTCCCAATCTAATACCAGGCCCCGTAGATTTCATTCCTCTGCACATTAAGTCAGTGGCAGGAAATGGACTGCTACCACTGGTTCACACACTCTCAGGACCATGAGGCTTGTGCAGTCTGCCTACTGCTTTTGAGCGTTCTTAATCAACTAAGTCGAAGTACTGTATGAGTCTGCCTATTACACACACACACATACACACACACATACACACACACATACACACACACACACACGACAGTTGGTGGTACCTCACCCAGCCTCCAACTCCCACGCTCCCCCCACTCTTCCAAAGAAATGTTTCTTGGGAGAGCACATGGAGAGGCAAGGGAAAAAAACGCACGTAGGCGCCTCTTCCTTAGATTTCTGGTAAAGTAGAAAAACTGGGGGCCTCCGTTGTGTGTTTTGGGGTTTGGCGGGTGGGAGCTGATTTGCAAGTCTGTGGATGGGCTCCTAAGCATTGGGACTGAAAAGAAGAGAGGTGCCCCTGCCCGGTCTCTAAGCGTTAAGAGGCAAAACCCAGCAAATGATAGGGGTGGGAGGGGAATGGAATCGCGCAAAGGTTCGTGCCCACAAGTTAGATCAACAACAGACCCTACCCAGTATTCGGGGTCTCGGCAAGTTGGGGTGGGGCCTTCCTCCTTCCCGCACTGCCTCCCGGTTGACAAGAGTGAGAAAGGGGTTAAGTGGAGAAGGGGGTGCTCTTCCGCCCCCACGCCGTCTCCGCGCCTCGGCGTGGCCGCTCCTTGAGCGGCTCCCCGAGTTGCACAGCGAGGTCGCGGTCACCCTTGGGAAGGGGCTCCGGGTCCCCCCGTGTTCAACGGCAGGAGGATCCCGGGGCTCTCGCTGTCCCCAAGGCCGGCGGGGGCTGCGGGAGCACTCACCAATTTAGGTTTGTTTTTCGTTTCCTCTTCGTTGGCGGCCCGGTTCCCCGCGCTCCGCTTGTTGCTCCGGGCCCCACCGGGTTCCTCGCCGCCGCTTCCCGCTCCCGACGCCGCCGCCCCGGGCTGCTCCATCTTTCTCCGGCCCTGTCACCTGTACCCTGGAAGCCCACCTCTCCTCAACTGAGGAAGCCCCTCTCCTCGACTGAGGCTGCCCCGCGCGGATTCGGCAGCACTTCTTCCTGTGTAAGAGTGTGTCTGCCTGGGGAGCTGCCGACTTCAGGCCCCCGGGGCTCCCGGCTCCCAGGCACCCCCGACGCAACACGCCGTTGCCACTACTCGGCGCTGGGGCAAGCCCTGCCCCTGAGCAGCTGCAATTACCACGGTCGCCGCCGCCCTCAAGGCGGTGTTTAGGGTGGAGAAAAAGTAGGTGCCTATCTCTTTAAGAGGGCCCCGACACACGTGATTCATCAAAGTGCCCGCAGTCAGCCGCCCGGGCGCGGAAAGCTGCTTCCTACTCCCGGTGCCGAGCCGGCCCCAGCTACTGAGCATGCCCGGCGCGGCGACGGGAGCCAAACGAGAGCGCTTGAAGCTGCGGTTAAGCACTGATTTCACTTCCTAGGGGCCTAGCGTGAAATGGGAGGGGACTAGTCAAGAAAGAGGTGGTGTAGCCCATTTTAGAGATGGGGAAAGTGAGGCCCGGGAGTATTCACGTGTGGGTTTCACGGGCGGGGCTACCTGAGTATCAGCTTCCACTAGTGTAGGCCAGAGCACTTTCCCCGGCAGAGGCCTTGCCGGGGGTGTGGTCCTGCTACGCTCTGTGGGCGGGGTTGATTGGCGAGGCAACTGGAGTCCTATAAGAAAAAGCACCACAGAGATCGCTGATTAATTGCCGAGACAAACTGTATGGGTCAAAGTGGAAAGAGTGGGTGTGCTTTCTGTTGCCATGATTGCGTTGCGACCCAAGAAATACAGTCGTTCCTTTATTCCCATGCTGCTGGGTAGTAGAAGCAGCAGGCACCCACCACTTAATCCGGAGGGGATATAAGGCTCTTTAACCGAAGCACCTACAAGAGAGCTAACAATTGGATTGAGTGCTATTTTCAGTTTCCTGAACTAGTTTAGGGTTGTTGTGGGGAGTGAATAAGATCACGTGTATCAAAGCTTTGTTAAAAATGTAAATCTCGAGGCAAATGGTAAGTGTTTTTGTGCAGCAGCAGGGCACTGAGGGTCTTTAGTCCTTGAGTTGTGGGAAGAGGCCCATGCTATATTTCATCCATCCTTTTTGAACGGGGCCCTTTAAAAATAATGTTCACACTGAGAACATTAGAGGGGCAGGGAAGGATTTGAAGGAATCACCGTCACAGAATAAGAGCACATATGCTAGAGAAGCTGCCTGAAATGTAAATTCAGATACCAAGTCTATAAACACGTCCATATGCCTGCTACTCAGATACCTTCAGGCTAGGATTCCTGTTGCCCTTCTCCCCTCAATCTAAGTTCAGCTATGTTGAATCTAATTTGTTTACGAACATGTTTATTGAGAATGCGTTAGGATAAATTTGCCCATGCTATAGGCGTGATGAGGCAATTAACTTAGACAGTAGAGTGAAAAGAAGGTTGTATATCTGAAAACAGTTTTAATCCTGGCTTTGTGATTGTCATTCACTGTCTTTTTAATCATGCAGGTGGTAAACTACCTAAGGACAGAGAGAAGAGGGAATACGTGCTCCCAGAGGGGGTAGACAAGGAGCCCTAAGGTAAATTTGCTTTGTCGAAGTTCCTGTTTGACTTACAATTTGATGCATATTTTGAATTCGACTTACTACACATGCGCGTGTGTGTACACATGCGCACACACACATATGATTTAAGTTGCTTAAATGTCTCCCCTCCTGAAAAATTGCATAAAAATGGATGCTGCGGAAAGACATGACCTGTTTTTCCAGTGCTTTCACGTAATTCCTGTTTGAGAGATGTGGGTGTGGGCCATAGCTAAGGGTCCTCCAAGCTCAAATGTTGCTCAGTAATCTGCTCAGTAGACATTTATTGACCTGCTTCGAGTACACCAGGTGATATACAGAATGCTGTGGGTTAAAGGATGAAGCGGACACCATTTCTGCCCTTTAGAACCTCATAGTCTACTGCGAGAGACAGACTATTAATGAACTGCACTTCAGTACAACAGATATGAACAGGGAGCCCGTGGAGCACTTGAGGGGGTAACCAGCAGACTGTCAGAGGCTCCAGGACACCTTCCCAAATAGGATGACGCTTGAGCTGAGTCTTAAGGGTCTAATTAAAGTCAGTCGGTATTTGTTGACAGCCTGCTAAGCGTTAGGTACTGTGCTAGGCATTGCGGGTACGATGGTGAACAAGACAGATGTGGTTTGCTCTTATGGAGCTTTCTGGCTACTAGGAAGGATATTAAACAAAAATGTGTTGAGCAATTGCAAGGCAAAGCAGGCGAGTGAAGAGCATTCCTGGCAAAAGAAATGACAATAGCATGTGCCGAGACCCCATGGTTAAGAAATTGGGGGTGAGGGTGGGGGCTGCTGTTGGCAAGAGAAGAAGCAGAATAGATAAGCAGCTTCCAGATCACGAAGGTCCCTACTTGTAGGTCTCATTGCTGTGGTTTTAAAGCTGGGGGGAAGACGTTATAATACAGATGACTTCTGTTCGGAGTGTGTAAATAGACTTGAAAATGGGTTAACATTATTTTGAATGTAGGGTTGGGTTTCACCATCCTCGGGCCCGGCAAAGCTGCATTTGAAATCAAGTTAGAGGTACATGTAAAAGATGCATAATCTTTACTGCAAAAAGGGAAAAGTCTGTCTCTGATATGGCTTACATTTGCCTTTATTGTGGTTCTCTCAGCCCTGTCTTAATTCATGATGTTTGTTTTTCAGCATTTTGCTCCAGTTAATGTAAACAGTAATTAAAATTAAACACCCTTCCTTCAGGCATCAGGGTCATTGGCCTTTCTTGGAAGCTAACATACGAAAGGAGCCACTGCTCTCCTGCAAGGACACTTCGTCCTCTGATTATGAACCAGGCACCTCACCAAGTGCAGTCCTAGGGCTGTTCTCACTGCACCTGCATTTCTTTATTTTTACCTTCCTGGAACACACAAATAGGCTGGTGGATGGAGAGGCATCTTTTCTCTGATGCTGAAGATTAGGAGGCTACTACCTTCAGTTGGGATATCAAAAGCGTAGGGTAGACCCGCTGACCTTGTGGTCTCTGTCTCGGGCCTCTCATGAGTTTAGCACCCACTCAACATTAAAAAGCCAACCCTGGGAGAAAAGAAAGATAAAAGGCTAGTAGGCTCTATCTTTCTTCAGACTGACCTTAGAGCCATCCATTACCCCAAAGATTTCTGATGATCCTTATAGTATCCCTCTGGCTTTCTGTGCCCCCCTTCTGCTCCATGTTTTCATCTAAACAATCTAGGTCATTAATAGAGAAATTAAAGGAAACATGGAGTAGACAAAAATGAGAAATAAGCACTTTCAGGGTCATGGAAAAATATTTATGAATTAAAGCTTGCCTAAGAATAAGCAAGTATTTTTTAATACTTTAAAAATATTTTAAACTATGTGGCAACACCAAACTAGATGTCATGTGGATAAAAAAGTACCAGATGTTCTGCTATAATGTCATATATGTCTTCCTGAAGAATCTCCTGTTCTGCAAAATGGCACGCTAAAAATTCATAGGGCTTATGGGGAAAACGTGTTACAGAAGATCCCTTAAATCCAATGGAACTTTCTAATCGGAACACTAATGAAAACAATAACCATCCTAATAAAAACACTCATGAGATTAGAGGCATTTGCACCCAGCATCACAGCCATCAATGCTTGGTGGCCCTCGTGCTGCTTCTTTCCCAATGTGGATCCTCAAGGGCATTCACTTCTAATAGAGGCCACTTTCATCAGAATTAAAAATCTAATTAAGGAATTCCCAAATTATTATTATTTTTGTTTTTTGTGAGGAAGACCGGCCCTGAGCTAACATCCAATGCCAATCCTCCTCTTTTTGCTGAGGAAGACTGGCCCTGGGCTAACGTCCATGCCCATCTTCCTCTACTTTATATGGGATGCCGCCACAGTGTGGCTTGCCAAGCGGTGCGTCGGTGTGCGCCCGGGATCCGAACCGGCGAACCCCAGGCCGCCACAGTGGAGCGCGCGCACTTAACCACTTGCGCCACTGGGCCGGCCCCCAAGAATTCCCAAATTATTAAAAACATGGCGAAAGGTCTTCACAGCTCCATTATCAGTATTCACAGCTTTACCAGATAGTTTAATGTTGTGGGAAACTTAGAGGTTGTTGAAACCACTAAACCAATCACTCTACAGGGGTAGAGACTTGAGCAGGATTCTTCTGTTTTTCTTAAAGTCTTCATATATTGCTAAGACTTCTCCTTAATTGTGAGAAAGCTTGCTCCTGATCACTTCAAAACTTAAAGTGCTAAGAAAATTCATACGTGGACCAACTGTACTTCCACCTTATTTTAACCTCATTCTCCTGTTTGCCAGTCGTTAATGTGCTATTTGTTGTACACAAACACTTGTAATGAAACAGACTGTAAAACATAAAATCTCTGCCATCCATAGGTATAAAATCTGCTTGAGAAAACAAACAAGAAAATAGATTTGTGGAACAGTGAGAGAAAATTAGCTGCCTAACTTGGAGGTACTGACTCTAAATTCAACATCACATGGTGAAGGAATGAGATTAGTTGGGCCTGGAATAGATGAAGAAGTTTTCAAGGAGAAAGTAGAACTTGAGCTGCAGAGGTATGAAGCAGAAATGATATTTAAATAGGCAAAGCAAAGAAAGGAAGTAAGGAAAAGACAACATATGGAATGGCCTGGAAACAATACTGACCAATAATGTGAGGGCTTCAGTAGAATGGTGAGAACATAGATGTTGAATAATAGTAGGAAACGTGGTTATCCCCATAGCGTTTTCCCAGTATGTAAACAGATTTGAATGTAAGACATAGTAGTAGTAACTGATAAGGATCTTTAGCAGAGATATTATAAAATAAAGAAGTATTTTAAGGAGCTGGTCTGGCAGTGGTATGCAGAATAACTCTGAACACTGATTTTCAAACTTATTTTTCCTTTACTGTGGGATTTTTTTTCTAAATAAAACTCTTCGCAGGACCCCAATATGTACAACAGATACAAATCTAACTGACCTGTTTGAAGTTAGCGTGGGAGTGGAAACTATAGCCCTGCTCATGACCACTTGGCTTCTCTCTCACCCTCTCAGGCGACCCTTTGAGGCACACTGCTGAACTCTAGCTAAAACTAGATAAAGTCCTGGAGGATAAAGTCGTGAGGATTAGAACTAGAGTAGCCCCAGAGGAAATGAAGAGAAAGGAATGAATCCAAGAGACATTTAAAGGAACAAACTGTTCCTCTCCACAGATTATATACAGGAAGCAGAGGAAAAGAAAGAGTAAACAAGAATTACTAAAATTTTGGCT